AAATGGTGTAAAAAGGTATATTAATTCTACAATTGAGACCGACTTGAATCAAAATTTATTTCAGTTGTCGGTAATTGCAGTGGGAAGTTTTTAATAAAAGAACATTTTGAGAAAAATCCGTGAAAATGTTGCAAAATATATTTTAAAGAATATTCACAAATCGAACTTTTATGATTTCATTACGTCGTATTTCTTTTTGGACATATTTTTGGCGAAAATTGGCAACGTATAATCTTGTAAACAATTATCAATTATGGAAAATTCTCAAAATATGTCCATTTTCTTTGCTTAAAAAAATGAAAATAAATTTATATATTTAATCGAATTAAATTTAATAATATGAAACAGAATAGAGAGAACTATATCTAAGATACGCGATCATTGTTAGATCACGTTTTCCATAATATCAAGATTTATTTAGTTTGAAAATATGTATACCTTGATATTCAGATAGATAGATGTGACATTTTTTCTCGAATAAAACACACTAAAACATGTGAAGAATGTAAAGATTAAGCGGTACCATTAACAAAGCTTTACCTGCAAGTAGCAGGGAAGTTTCATTTCCTATGGGAAATACCGTAATTAAGACCATTTAAGGGGACCCCCCCCCCCCATTCTCGGTGTCAAAAAAATTTTTGATTTAATTCGAATCTACTCTAATTCTAGAATGTTCCTACAAAATTTCAAGTGAAAATCTCAAGAACTCTTGAAGATATAGCCGATTTATTGTGTCAGCATCAAGTGACGGCTAAAGGGCTTCTCAAACTTTAAACGCGTTTTTTTCAAAACAAATTGCGGGCACGATAACTCAAAAACTAATAATCCAATCGGTTTCAAATTTTGACACGTTTCTCTGGGAGTGTGTAGCTCTCGTATGAACTAGGATAAAGCCAATCGGTGAAGATCTTCCTTATTTTTTAACATAGTTTGTGGTAAAAAATAGGCGATTTTCCAAAAAAATTTTTTCAAAGTTCCGCCATTTTGTTAATTTTCGGATTCCGATGTTCCAGTGAGGAGTTATCATGCCCGCCATCGAAAATATGGACTTTTCTTTGAACCCAAAAAACAACAACAAAACAACAACAACAAATTTTGGTAAATTATTTTTCTTCCTTTTTAAATCTTCAAATATATATGTGCCAAGTTACAAACCTTAACAAGCATTGGTTTTCATTTACCAGCCCATTTAAAATCTTAAAAATAAAAAATCGAGAATGGGGGGGGTTCCCTTAATGGTCTTTTTGTTATTGCCTTCAAAGTACTTAAAATCAGCTACGTCAAAATATGGACCAAATATAAGGAAGCTTAAAAACGGACAATAATAAGGAGCCAATTGCTTTGAAATTAAAAATAAAAAATGACATATATCCTATACGATATCTGGGGCACTGCCGAAACTTGATAGTATTCTTGATCGTAAACCAAACAATATTTGTAAAAAAATTGCCGATACATAGGCATATGTTGCTAATTATACCCTTCACCACACTGTGGTACAGGGTATTATGTCTTTGTGCATATGTTTGTAAGAGGCAAAAATAATCGAGATAGACCCATGGTTGCTTTTAAGAGTATACATAGAATCACATTCAAAGTCGATTTATGCATGTCCGTCCGTCCGTCTGTCCGTATGTCCATTTTAAATTGTAAACAAAGTACAGGTCGCATTTATGATCCGAATTGGCACAGCTCATTTATTTGGCCCAAGGAACCCTATTGAAATTGGGAAAAATCGGTTCAGATTTAGATATAGCTCCCATATATATTTTCGTCCGATTTAAGGTAAAGAGTGTACCATAGTCCTATATATATATATATATATTTCGATTTGCACGAAATTTGACACAGCGTAATGAATAAGGTCTAGAATGATGTCTGCCTAGTTTCGTGAAAATCGGTTCAGATTTAGATATAACTCCCGTATATACCTTCGTCCAATTTAAGGTAAATTGTGTATCAAGTCCCTATATATCTTTCTATTTGCACGAAATTTGGCATATCGTACTAAATTAAGTCTAGAATGATTTGCGCAAAGTTTAGTGAAAATCGGTTCAGATTTAGATACTGAATTAAGTCTAGAATGATGTGTGCAAAGTTTTGTGACAATCGGTTCAGATTTCGATATAGCTCCCATATATATTCATCCGATTTAAGGTAATTGGTGCACCAAAGACCCTATATATCTTTCGATTTGCACGAAATTTGGCATATCGTACTAAATTAAGTCTAGAATGATTTGCGCAAAGTTTAGTGAAAATCGGTTCAGATTTAGATATAGCTCCCATATATAGTTTCGCCCGATTTTATGTAATTGGTGCACCAAAGCCCCTGGAAATCTTTTCATTTGCTCGAATTTTGGCATAGCGAAATGAATTAAGTCTAGAATGATGTGTTCAAAGTTTTGTGAAAATCGGTTCATATTTAGATCCCATATATAGATCTCATATATATTTTCATCCGATTTTAGGTAATTGGTGCCCAAAGTCTCTGAAAATCATTCGATTTGCACGAAGTTTGTCATAGCGTACTGAATTAAGGCTAGAATGACGTGTGCTAAGTTTCGTGATAATCGATTCAGATTTAGGTATAGCTCCCATATATATTTTCGTCCGATTTTATGTAATTGGTACACCAAAGTCCCTATATATCTTTCGATTTGCACGAATTTTGGTATAGAGTACTGAATAAAGTATATAATGATGTTGCTAAGCTTCGTGAAAAGGTCCATAGCTAGGGCGATTGACACAACGTACTAAAGTAATATAAATTAGTGTCTGGCAAGTTTCCCTGAAATCGGTACAGATATAGATATATAACAAAAACGCGTCGTCTGTTAGGATGCAACAGAATATACCCAAAGTCCGACTTTACTACTTTCCTTACTGGTTTACTATATACCAACGTCTCCATTAAAATATCATTATAACATTAAGTTTGGTGAAGATCCGTCCATATATATTTTCGTCCGATTTTACATAAATGGTGCACCAAATTCCTTTTTGTACTTGAAATTGAAAAACGGTCGAAATGACCGCCTTCGGCAAACTAGTGTTAATTTGCCCGAATGAAATTAAATTTATCATGGGTTGCAGAAAGACATGAGTATGTTCCTTCGAGGGAACATTGACATACAATTGTAAAGATACATATGTACAATATACCCAAAGTGGTAAAGGGTATCATATAGTCGACCCAGTCGGACTTTACAAATTTCCTTACTGGTTTTATTTTACCAACGTTTCTTACGTGGAGAAAAACGCGGATACCTGAATAAAGAACCTAGTCTTACTCCAAACGCCATCAAGAACAGACGCTTCAAATTTCTTTAGTACACTGCCAAGAGAAGGAAAGGGAGATTTTCCTAGGAAATATTAGCATTGACGAGCAAAAGGCAGCATACACCTTACAGGTATTGCAAGATACTTTCTTGTAAGGTCTGAGCTGTGGGCCTGTAGAGCAGAAATTAGCACCATTCCGCCGAGGGCATTGACATTCGCAGGGCTATCTAGAAGGATTTGCTCGGTTGGGAAATTTATAGAGAAAAGTGGAACATACACTTTGGCGGTAAATACCTTGAGAGCTTTGAATAGCAGGCTGTGGTCCCTAACAATGTTAGTCCAGAGAGTGTTAGATGCATGTTACCGATACAACAAGCGTGAAATCCGACAACTGAACATGCTTGAACGTTCTTGCGTTTATTCTATTGCCTTAAACAGTTATATAGAATCTTTTCTTTAATTTCTAACTCATGGACAGATCTTAGGGTTAGTAGTCAGGTGTTCCGCGCTAACAATTTCGAAGAACTGTGGCTCTGAATGACTACCCAAAAACTCTCAAATACTTGAATATGCATTGGGGATAAAATATAAATTTAAACATTTCACAAAGCAACCAGTGCGACGACATGCAAGACTTATACAATTTCTGCCTTCATAGCCGCCAGCCTGTGAATATTATCATTAATGACGGATATAAGGGACCACACGATCAAATAAGCAACATTTGAACAAAATTTCGATCGAAAATGATAGTATTCACAACGCCTAATATCTCTTTTGAAATGTTAATTTGACTTTCGTTCGCTCTATCAGTCGGTTCTGATCTCAATTAAACCTTACACAAGTTCTTATGTATTCAATTTGAATGAATGTGAAATATTTCGCGTCGAGCGTACCAAATATTCCAGATAGCCTTCTTTTTGGAAGCCTTAAATTACTTAGAATGAATCAAATTTGTTTCTTTTTATATTGATGGTTCGTAAGGCGTTCGGACTGGCAGGAGCTTTAGAAAGTACATTTTTAATGCATCCAAATCTATATAAAATGTCACTTTGGAAGGCAACTGTTAACATTTTGGTGAGTATATCAGGTGACTATTTTACGAGAACAATGAAGTTGGATGTAGCCGATCTAATGCCATTAACACTGGCTATTTGTTTACTCTTTCTTTCATCTTTCTGTGTGAAAATCCCAATTAAGTTTATCTAAACAAAACGCGATTTTTATGTTTTCATCGTCAATAAATAAAGAAACACATTTTTGGACGTTAGTATGACAACAAAACATTCCAAATCTATTTTTTTGTAAAAAAAAAATCAATTTATTTTATATATTAAATTGGAAATAAAACTGAGATATTTAAAATAGAATAGGCAAATAAAAATTTATTGTAAAATTGCTTTAACAGTTTAGGAATCTATCAGCATCATCCTGTCATCTTCTACCACTTAGAAGATACCATGTTGAGTATTGTGGTAGACTTGGCCATTGTCGATGACACCATCGGTGTGAACAACTTGTCCGGTGGTGTAGCTAAACGCATAAAAGAGAAGAAGATATAAGGAAAATAATATTAATACAAAAAGAAAATAAACAATTCCGTGCAATTTGCCAAACTTTATAGGGTAAATAAAAAAACCCTTAAAAAATATATTTTTTTATGGCAATTCATGCTCATGTTGGTCACACTCAACCAAAAACCGCAAGACCTTCATTTACTACTTACCCATTATCGGTGCCATGAGAGTTTACAGTGTGTGTGCTGAAATAAGCTGGACCACCATCGGATGACACCGAAGACGACGAGGAGGATGATGAAGTATAGGTTTGTCTGCGCAAACGTCTCAAATAATGAGCGGTCTAAAGAAAAAAGAAGAAACGCAATAAATTAAAATAAACACAAATAAATTTAATAAGGTAATTGTTTATTTTTATTGTTAGTAAAGCCTTTGAGTAGCAATAAAGAGGCTGACCTGTTAAAAATTAAAAACCACGACATGTTTGTAAATGTGTGATTTGTGTTTGCATTTCGAGTCTTTGTATTTAATTAGGTCATAGTAACAGAATAAATGTTTATATTCATGAGTGTGGGTCTTCCAAAATGAGCAAAATATAATGGAAGTTGTTCTTGTTTCGCCGGTCAATTGTGAGTGGTAATCCACAAATTATTTGTCTAAAGACTTTGGAGAAATTCGACAAACAAACCAGAGAATACGAATCATATTGGAAAACTGGGGTAGGAGCCCCAAAATAATAATTACTGGAAACATCCACAAAATACCGAATAATGGGGTCTACCCGAAACCTTTTACCAATATTGATTTTCTTGATAGATTTTTTACTCATTGAGAATCCATAACATAAATTACAGCCAATTTGGTTGATGTACGTACATAAACTGCCAAAAATACCGATATTTAGGATGTAGCGTTATTTGGGGCTACCCTAATAACACTTTGAGAACCGAAAATATCAAATTCCAGCTAATTAGGTTGAAAACCGTGGCAAAAGGCTTTAATACATCGATATAAAACTATCCCAAAAAGTCAAGACAAAACATCTATCTTAAATACCGCAACTCTGTCGTGATGTCAACAGATAGATGGACGGTTATGGTTCGATCGACATAGAATGTTATTGTGATTAAAACTATATATGGGGCTTCCGATGTATAGCTAAGTGTCGAATAGTTTGAAATGACATTTTTAATACAATACACTCCAAACTTTGGTGAAAGGTATAAGTCCGAACTTATTTAACCTACACAATCAGTTCAACATTATAAATACCGGAACCTTACGTCCTTGCAAATTGTGTGCACAAAGTTTTTCTTTCCTCTGAAAATACAGAATACCATAATACACTGTGTTTGGTGAATTTGACTAGGACTAGGAACTTGACGTACTGAAAATCGGCTAGCTAGAAAATTGGCAAGCTATTTTAATATGCTTGTCGTTGATCTGAAGAGTCGTTGGCTCTAAATGGAGTTTTAATCCAAAAACGATACAAACAAAATTGTTCAGAGTACATGCTACCAAAGCATGTTCACCGAACTGCTCGTAGTGTTTTTTTTTTTTCATTAAATCACCACACGTCACGCTTGAATCACGCCGAGCACCTAAGCTTAAAGTCAAAAAATGAAGGACAAAGTGTCATGCGCTAAACGAACACTGACAACAATGCCCCCTGGAAACTACACAGGTGGGTCACTGGTTTAGCAGGAACGACAGTGCTGTAACTCTTCATATAAGGACCGGGGATTGAAATTTCACTTAGCTTGCCAGATTACAAAATGATTCTTCAGGCGGTTTTTAGAGCTATAATGTGTTCTTTCCAGTTTCCTGCTAGTCGGGAGTCATATGTGGAACAACAGTTGTCAGAGGGCATTCCCATGAGTCTATGCCAGTTATCATAGTATTCAGTCTGAATCAAAACTACTGATAGATGATTCGATTGTAGCCTGTATTATATTTTGTATATACTTTGGAAAAAAAGAGAAAGATAGAAAATGAAAATGTTTTGGGTTGGTAGTTCATCCATGACAAGTTTTTGCCAAATCGGTAAATTATTTTGGGGTATATCTCAGAGAAAAAAGTTAAATCTCATATATACCAAAACATTGATACTGTAAATCTTACAGATCTTAACAAATTGGTAGCTAAGAGGAGATTAGGCAGTAGTATCAATTGCGGCGTTTCATATCGACCAAGTACGCCGGCTAATTCGTTTCTGCTATATCGCTATGGCCATGAACCAAAAAAAGTCTAACAAAATGTCGTATATCCGGGATCCGAGTTGCCGCTTCACTATTAACACATATGTAGTTACCGGTCCTGAGTCACTAATACATAATTCCTTGTCATGATTGCTAAAATCACTTCTTGGAAACATTTTTCGTTTACTTGTATTAATTTTTTAATAAAAAGTTCTTCCCAGAAGACACCTGTACTTCTTCCATATTGGAACCAGGACTTTCTTTTAAAATCCTCCATGTTGTGGTATACCCTTCACTTTGGTACAGGATATTTTGTCTTTGCGCATATGTTTGTAACATTGTCTATCTCGTTAGACCCATAGTTACTTTTAAGGATATGTATATAATCACTTTCTGAGTCCATGTATTTGTGTGAACAAAGTACATGTCGCATTTATGATTCGAATTGGTTAATATTTGGCACAACTCACTTATTTTGCCTCAGAGAAAATCGGCAAAGATTTAGATACTGCTCATATATATATATATATATATATATGATTTATCCGATTCCACAATAGGTCACCCAGGTCACAATGTTTATTATTAAATTAAATTAAGATTGGTGTATGTAAAGTTTTAAACAAATCAGTTCAGATTTAGAGGTAGCTCTCATATATATTTTCTTCCAATTAGAGGTATATGGTGTAACGAATTCCCATAATCTTGTGCTATTAACACAAAATTTTGCGAGTGTACCGAAATTGATATAGAATGACAACTGTTAAGTGGTAATTGGTTTAGGTTTAGATATAGCTCCCGTATTTACTTTTGCGGATTTGATTGAAATTATTGACCAAATACTTAACGTTCCTCCAATTTCTTTGAAACTTCATATAAACATACGACGCCCAATTAAGATGAAATTTTGCATGGATTGCCGAATGACATATACAATTCTTAGAAGCATCTCTTATATATATCCATAGTAATGAAGGATATCATATAGTCGGTCTCGTCTGATTTTTATACTTTCATTACGGGTTAGACTTTGCATTTCATGTCTAAATTTCTTTATTTAAGTTTATTTCTGTTATTCAAATGACTATCAATTTTAAATATAATTCAAACATTTCCTGGTTCACGAATTCCTAGAACAGAACTATTGAGCTCGTATTGTGTGTTGTCTATTTTCATCACTTCACTGTTGTTGATTCTTCGATTTCCATTGTCACTCCTTTCAAAAATATTTTTCTATTTACAATCGTTTTTGAATAAATTAAATAGAAATGTGGACAATGGGCAAACAAATAATTATTGAACACGGAGGTATGATGTTGCTTAACCCTCAAATGGCTAACAAGGGTTTATGAAAAGCCATCACTAGAAAAATTGAATTTAAGGGCGGACCTTTGAAAAAATATTTTTGGAAAATTGCCGATTTTTGACCAAAAACCAAGTTAAAAAATAAGAAAGATCTTCACCGATTGGCTTTATCCTAGTTCATACGATAGCTATACACTCACAGAGAAACATGTAAAAATTTGGAATCGATTGGGTTATTAGTTTTTGAGTTGTCGTGCCCGCCATTCGCAAAACCAATGTTTAGGAAAAACGAGTTTAAAGTTTGAGAAGCCCTTTAGCCGTCACTTGATGCTGACACAATAAATCGGCTTGAAATTTTGTAGGGGCATTCTTGAATTATTGTAAATTCGAATTAAATCAAAAAAAATTGACCCCGAGAATAGGGGGGGTTCCCTTAATTTAAAATTTTTGTATTTCCGTATTAAAGAGCGTGACACAAGTGAAGGAGATTATTTAAGCTATATATTTATACATAGAAAAACATTTCAATTGTTACAAAGAATTTCATTTAAGAATAAATGTTTCAAACAAATCTACATACAGATCAAATATAAAGATATCTTGGGACCATTTTGGGGAATATTTTATATTTTAGTAACCAATAAATTTAAATCAAAATATTCAATGGAATTTCTGTATAATAATCAGACACTGAACACCTTAAGCTTTGCTATATTCTCCCCCATATAATTATATTGGACAAGCTTGCAATTTCTCGCGAAGTAGCCAAAATATGGGTCATTCTAATTAATATTTTTAGTTTTTTATATGAAGTGCACTTCAAACAAGAAGTAAAATATTGAAAAAATTGTGAAAATATGTAAATTGCCCTAATGACACAAACATTTGAAGTGCTTTTTTAATTTGTTTTAAAATACATTTCATTTATTCAGCGAAAAGAAGGACTCTTGAAATCACATTTTGAAGTATCAACTTGAGATTGTTTCGTCAATTTTCTTTGCATACCTTAAGGCGAACAAATAAAAAAACCTCAAGTGGTTATGACTGCTGTTTAAAAATGGGTTAATTAATAAAATAAGTGGCACAGTAGTCTTCATGAACAAATTAGCCCTGCGGGTAAGTATAGAAATATTTAGAAAATGTTCAAAAGACATTAACAATTGTGTGCTACATAAAAATTGAGCTATACGTAGCGAAAAAAAAAACATTTCCGACTCATGCCATGTATAAGTTAAATCAGAATTAGTTTTTCTCAAAGTATAAACTACTGTGATTTTCATAATAGGAAGTAAAACTGAAGGTGAATATTTTCAAAACATTTAAAAAACAAACAAAATTAAACATCAACCACCGTATTCGTACGAACTGGGTCCGCGATGAATTTTTTCTCTTCCCAAAAGTGAAGCCGTATATGAAAGAGACGCATTTTTCCATAATTGAGGAGATCAGAGAAAAATCGAAACAGAAACTGTTGGCTATACCATGAAGCTCATTTGGGAAGTGTTTCGAGGATTTGAAATACCGCGGTGAAGAGGAGTTCTTTGAACGAAATGTCAAATTACAGTCAAAACGAATCCTTTGCCTATCAAAGTGCGTTAAAAGCCGCAGAACTATATATGGGGCTACGTCAAAACATGGACCTTTATTGATGTTTTCCAAATACGTATTTCACATTCCAAAAACCCAGATTGGGAGCTTATGAAAACATGAACATTTGCTGAATGCGCCTAGAACTATCAAAATATCTAGCATTCGGCTAGACCTATACTAACCTATATTAAAAGTTTTCGGCGAAGATGTGTTTCGGTTGTAAAATATATCTAAAGCCATTAAGATTCTAGGTTTCAACAAAATCGATTTTATACCTTCCACCATAGTATGGAAATAATCGTTTTCGACCCTATAACGTATTTTTTTAATCAGCGAACAAGTCTATCAAGATATCCGCCGGCAGTCTGCCTGTTGTAATCACTCTAGCATCTAAACAAATTGAGATAGATCGCCAAAATTTTGCATAGAGTTGCCTCTTGTCTGCAGCAGGTCAAGTTCGAAGGTGGACTATATCGGTCTACGTTTAGGCATAGCACCCATATAAGAGTTTAGTCTAGAGTCTAGTAGTCCCCATATAACGGTACCCCCAATTCTCAGCATTTTGGGGATTTTGAGCGTATTTTTCGATGTTTTTTAGTACTTTGGGTTCTCACAGGTAGCAAATCTCTCCACAAACAATTATGTATATAGGTCCATTTTTCGGGTAGCCCCCATATAAGAGTACCCTACAACTTTCGGTTATTATATATTCTTGATCAGTGTAAAATTCTATGACGATTTAAGCATGTCCGTCCGTCTGTCTGTCCATCTGTCTGTTGTAGTCACTCTAGCATCTAAAAGAATTGGATTTATAAGTTCTAATGGTCGGAAATCATGCCTTCGGTTGTAAAATCCGCGTAGATAGATATATCCCATTTACTATACTAATAATACTAGTAGCAGCATTTTATTCAGATATACTGGAATTTTGTTATGATATCCGACGAATATTTCGATATATTGCAAGCGGAATGACCAAATTAACAAACTTCTGTGAGGAGTTTTTTTATTCTTTGAGGAACCGAAAAGCCAAATTGCCGCCACTTCAGTTAGAAAATGAGACTTCCTTTGTATGGGGACTATGTAAAGAACATGAACATATATTTAACATTTTCCGCTCGTAGTTATTTTATCCACAGGAACTCCGAATAGCCTAATCATAGTCACTTCGGTTGGGAAATGTTACGAGGATATTTATAGTTCCTATTAGGGCAAAAGTTATTGATAGGAGTCAAATCAACGTATAGAGAAACATATTTAAGAAAAACAATTTGTTTATCCTCCAAAATAAATTATAGAGATCCAAGGAATATTTTTGTTATTTGAATTTGTGTGATCATTTGAAAGTGATTTTAAGTAAAGCCACATAGCCCAATATGCCTGATGAGCCGCTTAACCAACGGCGAAACGCGCCGCATAATGGTGGGTACGTAGGTTCTTCTCCTGGCTTTCCTTTTCATTGCAAAATTTAGATCATCAAGCTCGACTCGAAAGAGTATAAATAATCACTTAAAGATCCAAGGAATATTTGATATGCGGTTGCCAACAAATATTTCGAAGACCATCAACTTAAATGCTGGGTATAAAAATGACTAAAGTGAAATTATTTTCGTCATTAAAAACCCATATAATGAAATGCCTTGTTTAATCTGTGCATTCATTTACAAACTCGAGTCGTATACACCTAATTAAATATATTTGTAATGAAAGATCTTAACACTCCAGAGTTTATGCCAAGTCATAAACATGCCATGAAAAATTCTTCATAAAAATCCCCTTTTTATCTTCTTACCACAATTAAATCTACTTTGAAACCCTTAATAATGCTAATTGCTTAGCAGAAGAAAAACTAAAAAAAAAGGTTGACGAACTTACGTGTGGATTTATGGGATGCACTTGAGATTTATGGCCTTCAGCATCCAAGGTATAAAAAGCTTTGGGTATGAAATGGGCAGAATCTATAAAAAAGAAGAGAAATAAAATAAACAAGAAAATAGTTATTACCTTTTTTCTTTAATGTGGTATTCTAGGAAGTTGTTAAGACACCGTAACCAATGATTAGAATGATGAGTGTGTTTATTTTTAGAATCACTTTTTATTCGCTAACAACAACAATATTATTGATTATTATTCTACTTCCCATATTTCTTCTTTTTGTGTTTTATTTTTAATTTTAGAGATGAGGTAATTTTTAGGAATATTTACAAATTATTAGTTTTTTTATTTTTAATTACTGATTTAAATCTCCAAGGTGATAAGCAATAAACACACAACAACAACTAATCAAAGGCCTTTGATGATTATGACTCAGACATACCAGCATCAGCAGAGACAGCCAACAAAACGGCGAACAAACACAAGACACTTAAAATGAATTTCATTTTGTTTTTTTTTTACAATTAAGTTTTCTATTTAACCTAAAAGAAATTACAAAAACAAAGATATTTTCACTTAACACGTCACAAAAAAATAAATCAAATAAAATAATCCAGAATTTTCAAGCTTTCGAAAGACACATAAAACAAAAGACTTAAGCAACAAACTCCATTTGTAGTTAGTACAACCACAGTGTGCGTAACACCCAACGAACTTACACTTACAACCGGCAAACGTTAACTAAACCCCATCAATGGTGGCCAAGAATTTTTATACACATCCAAAGTTGGCCATTCATAAGAAAGCAACAACAACCACAACAGTCAAATCAAATGTTGAGAGAAACAAACAAAACAGCAAACCAAAAAAAAGGAGAATCAAAAGAGGTAACAAAAAACACAAGATCTGGCCTTATGTTCTACGCTAACAATTTGTTTAACACTGACGTGTATATTGTCGTTGTCTAGACGATATGACTGTCGAACAGTCGATAGTGTGAACACCAGAATAAACAAACAATTCCACAGAAGAATCTATTGTTTTGGGATGGGGGAATAAACATTTTGCAAAAATTAAAAATAAATTGAAGACTTTTTTCAGCGGGTATCTGTTGATTTTTAACAAAAAGAAAAAAATCCCAAAACCGGTTTTGGGGAAATTTAGCCACTCATTATGATGGTTCTTCTTTAATAGAGCAACGAAGTCATTCACACTAAAGTTCCCAAAAAAAAAAGGAAAGAAAGAAAGTTCAAAATGACCTGCAATTGTAAAAGGTTTATCACTACCACCATCTCAACTGCTGCTTCTTGTTTGGTTTTATCAAGAGGCCATTCCAAATTTTGAAATCATTTATTTTCCTCTCTGATTTATACAAATTTTGTTTGTCGCCTTAACAAAAGATATTAGTAATCAAATTTTTATTAATAATGCCGGAGTTGATTTTTTTTTTAAATAAAAAAGAAATGCAAATATTAAGACGTATTAAGAAAACAAATGAGACAATATTGAATTCGGTCACAGCTGATAAATGATTGATGACTTGGGGTAAACTTTCGGATATGACAAATTCACTCGAAATAAGTAATAATCAATCATATATTTGGATTACATTGAAATGTAAAAGTAAAAAAGTGAAAACGTGTTTATGTTTGGCGGGTCGAACTTTTTACAAACTTCAACAGAGATGGACTCTCAAAATAACTAAAATCGAAAGGAACATTGGATATATTGGATTAAGTGCAAATATGATCTTTATTGGTTCATTATTTCTTGTAGCTTCCCCAAAAATGGTTACGATCAAGAAAGATCAACAAAGAATCGAAATTTGTGCCCGATGCAAATGAAACCCTGCATATGATATGTTTATCAAATATAGATTATAATACAAGGATGGAGAGCAAAATTGAGCCAATCTGACACCGCAGACATGGTAGCAACAAAAGAGCAAAATATACATGTGTAGGCCAGGATATATTCATCAATTAAACCCCTTAATTATGTCCGCCCGTTGAAATCACTGCTTGATATTATCAACATCAGGCATAGAGATTTACCTTAATATTGTTTTTTTTTTTAAGTTTTTTTTAAAAAAAACAATCTACAGTCATGCGGAATATTTTAAATTTGTTGTTTTTAAAATAAAACTAGTTCTGATATTTTTTTATTAATAGTATTTTTTATAATTATATATGAATAATTAGGAAACATGATTTTATTTTTGCAGTAGTAAACAAAATATATTTAATTATTTCTGCATCTCATTTAGTGGATTTAATTTCACAACTTTTTAAGGGGAACTACCCATTGAAATTGGACTAAATACGAGGGCAGTTCGAAAACTTCTTAGCCTAGCACAAAAAGTGCGGTATAAACCGAAAAAAGAGTTAAGTATTTTGGAAACTTCCATATTTGTTATGAACACATGTTAAATTTTGTTTCAATCTGGCAACTCCATCATATAGTAATAGGTGTTCAAAAAAGACGCATCCGCAATTTTTGTACCCTTCATCACACTGTGGTACAGGGTATTATGTCGTTGTGTAAATATTCTCTTTCATTGATAGGCTAAGAAGTTTCCAAGCCACCCTCGTATGTTTATACCCTACACAACTATGTTGTCCGGGTATTATAGCTGCCCCAAAAGTTTGTAACGCCGCGAAATATCGGTCCTAGACCCACCTTTAAGTATACCGATCGTCATATCTCGACTAGCTGAGTCGATCTAGACATGTGTGTCCGTCCGTCTGTCCATTATAATTTGTAAACACGATACAGGCCACAGTTATGGACCAATCTTCACGAAATTTTACATGTAGAATGGGTTCGGCCCGATGAAGACCCCTATTGTTTTTGGAAAAGATCAGTTAATATTTAGGGGATGAAATGGACCAAATACTAAATTTTTGTCGGTTTTTCTGGTCGCTCCAGAGGCCGCAATAATAGCCTGAACATCGTGAAATATTACATGGAGAAGGGGATCGGGCCAAAGAATAAGCATGTCTGTTGTGATAAAGATCGGTCAATATTTAGCGGGTCAAATGGACCCTGACTTTTGTGTGAAAAATTACAAAATTTGTATTCTATGGCGTATATGTTTACCCCTGAAGGACATAGACCCGAGATGTTGATAGCATATCCAAGAGGAGTGGTTGTCCTTTAAATTGATACCAATCATATGGTCGTATGTAATCTAATGTCGGAGTTACACTTAAATATTTACAAGTGCTTACGTATTCAGATATTATTTAGTAAACCATTGCCACAATAGAGGACAGAAATAAAGCGATGATATCTTTGAAATGTTCCATTAGGTTCCAGTTATGGTCAAGGACAACGCCTATAAATTTAGGTGATTATCAGATAATAATTTTGGGATGAAGTGGACCGAAAACTTATTTTTTGTTTTTTTTCGAGTCGATCTATAGGCCACAATTGAAAGCCGAACATCACAACACAACCCACGGAGAAGGGAATCTGACCAAGTAATTAGAAGGGCTGTACTGAATATTAGTGATATTTGTAAAATATGTCAGTGTTAGGAAGAGTTGCTGTTGACCTCTAATCTGACAAGAGGGTTGAATTGTTACGAAGTATTCCCCACCGTCGGAATAAATATCCGTAGAAAGTTAGAGTTCCGTGGTAGTTGTGTAGGGTATCGTATGGTCGGCCCCGTCCGACTATACTGCTCCGCTCACTGGTTTTTGTTTACATCATTATTATTATTTAAAATTTTAACTTCTAAATTTTATTTATTAAGATGCGAAAATAAAATTGAGTAATACACGTGTTATTTCTTAACAAAAAAATTATATGAATATTAATGGTATCCCCTAATATTAGTTAAATAACCTGATTTAAAATACTTGTTTTTTAATAAACGGTAGCGCTTTAATAATAACATATTGATGTTTAGGTATAGACAACACAAACATCTGGTGTGGATCAATCAATATGAATTAGATTTATAAAAGAATCAAATTTGGTTTAAAATATGTTTAATATTTTGTCCACAATCTTTGCTCTTTTTTTGTGCTTTGGCATATTCTCCACCAATTGTGTAAAGATTTCTCAAGGGATTGTGTTATATTCCTCATGTTTGTTGGTCCCTATATATAATTTTATTTGCACGAAATTTGGCATAGCGTACTCAACTAAGTCTAGAATGATGTGTATTAAATTTCGTGAAAAACGGTTCAGATTTACATATAGCTCCCATATATATTTTTTTCGATTTAATGTTAATGGAGCACCAAAGCCCCTATATTTCTTTCACTTTGCACGAAATTTGCCATAGCAAATGTGTATTAAGTTTCGTAAAAATCGTTTCAGATTTAGATATAACTCCAATATATATTTTTGTCCGATTTTATATATGGAGCACCAAAGTCCCTGTCGAGAATGATCAGTGCTGAGATTCGTAAAAATCTGTTCAGATTTTTCTATAGCTCCCACGCATATTTTCGTCCGATATTTTGTAAATAATGTACCAAATTCATTGGCTTTTATTTACTACTTTCCTTAATGGTTTTATTTTCAGTTGAAAGTCTGAAATTCACGAAAATGGATCGCTTTAATACTTGTATATAGTATTCATATATGATCCATTATTATTTAAGTAAAAAATGTTAAGTTTATTAATTTAGTTTTTGGTATATCCCAAATAAACCGCCAACACTACTGAAGTTTATTAATTTAATTGGACCCCCCTTATATATTTCGAATCTGCACTAATAAAAGAATGTCCCTACAAAATTTCAAATGAAAATCTCAAGAACTCTTGAAGATATAGTCGATTTATTGTGTCAGCATCAAGTGACGGCTGAAGGGCTTCTCAAACTTTAAACGCGTTTTTCTCTAAACATTTTTTTGCGAATGGCGGGCACGATAACTCAAAAACTAATAATCCAATCGGTTTCAAATTTTGCAACGTTTCTCTGGGAGTGTATAGCTATCGTATGAACTAGGATAAAGCCAATCGGTGAAGATCTTCCTTATTTTTTAAATTGGGTTTTGGTAAAAAAACCGGCGATTTTCCAAAAATATTTGTTCAAAGGTCCGCCATTTTGTTAATTGTTGTGCGAAGTAAATAGTCCTAGTTCATACGAGAGCCAAACATGTCCTCTTTCTAACACCGTTGGAATTTTCGGATTCCGATGTTCCAGTGAGGAGTTATCATGCCCGCCATCGAAAATATGGACTTTTCTTTGAACACAAAAAACAACAACAAAACAACAACAACAAATTTTGGTAAATTATTTTTCTTCCTTTTTAAATCTTCAAATATATATGTGCATAGTTACAAACCTTAACAAGCACTGGTATTCATTTACCAGCCCATTTAAAATCTTGAAAAATTAAAATCGAGAATGGGGGAGGTTCCCTTAAGTAAAAAATATTCCTCACATTTTTTTAAACCCATTTCCAAGTCATACTTACGATTTAGTGTACATAATTTCAAAACTACAAAATAATTGTTAATTTTTCATACTTTTATTATTTATTCCATTTTTCCTCAAGTAAAAAAACTCAACACAAAAAATACAAATTCTTGAAATACATTTGTT